TTGCATTCTTTGCTTTTGTTCTCAGGAACGCTTTATTCGCTTTACTGATATGTGGACTTTTCTGTCTCAAGTAAAAGCTTGGTACTATTTGGTTGATTTGTTAAACAAATGAAGTACTCCTGAAACAGATTCGTGAAGGATTGCAATATAACCCTTACTTCCCTAGTGGAGCAATCGCAATGCCTAAAATGCTTAATGATGGTGCTGTTGAGTATGAAGATGGTACACCCGCAACAGAAGCACAGGTAGATTTACTGTAAATAAAAGATTAAATAAGCTGCCCTTAGATTTAGCATCATGCGAGAAGAATCTTCTTTTCGAATCATTACAACTCTCTAGTTGTTATGTGTTAGTACCTTGGTGGATACATATTCGTTATTTCGAATGTTAAGCTTTTTGTTTAAGTCTCAAAGGAAGTCTTTTGCTGTTTCTCATCTTCTCTGTGTTGTTATATAGATGGGAAAAGATGTGGTGTCATTTTTGTCCTGGGCAGTAGAGCCGGAAATGGAATAGAGAAAGCTGGTAAAATCTTTCACGCGCATATATAGATGAAAAAGTACCACAGCTATTGTCTTTTCCAGTTTCCCGATTTACCTAACATGTGTTCGTGTTTCTGAATGAAAATGGCAGATGGGGTTCAAGTGGATATTTGTCCTGTCACTGGCACTACTTCAGGCTGGTTACTATAGGCGTTTGAAGTGGTCGGTTCTCAAGTCCAGAAAGCTCGTGCTTGATGTTGTCAACTAGGTTTCTGTTAGCATCGCGTATTTTACTTATATCTGCTGAGATGAACCTGCCTTAAATTTTTTTGGGAAAAAATGTTTTCCATTTTGATGGAGATTAATAAGAAGTTTGTACTGGCCATGTATCTTTTTTACATGTTGGAGCTGATGAGGAATATTGGAAAATTACATTGTTTTGTGTTGTGTACATTTTGATGTAGTTATTATTTATTCCTACTACTTTTCCCTTCCAAATTATTGGGAAGGTAGATGTTTGAATTTTTATTTTTTATTTTTAATAAATCTTAAGGTACAAAAAGCGTTACATATACATGGCGCTTGTATTTCTTCACTTTCATTGTCAACGATAGCCCTCGGTATTGTTCTTTAAATGTATTTGGTTTAGAAGAGTAAATTATTTCTTGTGACCGGAAATTTTGAACTCAGGTTTCCATGGCTATCAAACTACTTTTTTTTTCGGAAAGAGAATTTTATAGATAAAAATCCACAGAAGTGCAAAGGTGCAACCTCTAAATGAATGAACAACTAAAAGCTGAAAAATTGGGACGACGGATCCGAAAACCGCCTATAACCGACACTAGCAACGCTAGAAACTGAACCGCAAGACTCATTACACAACAAAAGCTTCAAAAAAAGGAGAATTAACAATCCCAAAATGATAATACCTGCTCACACTTGGGCACATACTTGTAGGGACTTGCTTCGTGCATTTTTCACTTACTAGTTTGGTTAATGCTTTGGAATTTCCCCTCCACAAGCCATTGACATGAAGAGTTGCCCAGGAGCTCTGCTAGTGCACAGTCCAGTTATATTTTTTAACTCTTCTAATTTCAACTCTGCTAGTGGTAGGAGCTTTACGACACTAGGGACCTATGTTTAATTTATTTCGAATTGCGAGTTCCCAGGCACAAGCACATTCGCCAGGCGTCTAGCTTGCCCGGGACACACCATCCGCGTGCCCGCGAGTGCTCCCAGCCACCCAACCGCGCACTCGCCGAGGACTTGAAGTCGTGCCCCCGCGAGTCTGGCACCTCCAGACCGTCCACCTATTAACACACGCGCCCGCGAAATGCAGTCGGCGACCCAACGAGTTCTCTTCATTGAAGTAGTGTAAATACATTTCTTCCCTTTATATTTTGGAAACCAGGCTTTCATTTTCAACTTTTCCCACTTTGGGAATAAGTTTTTCTTTTATTTTATGTTTTGTGTTTGGGAGCTCCAAGACTTGATATTTTCCGGCAACAATTCAGGCGATTTTTCGGCGACCTTATTTTTATTCAAGATTCGCTCTTTAAGCATTATTTTGTCCGAGCTTGCGATAGGAGAGTATGTACCTCGATTAGGGCTTATTACTTCGAGTTTGTTTCCTTCTTGCTTACGATGTTTACCAAGGTTGGGTTGGTTTATTGGTCAGAATCAAGTGTATATGCTCGGTTCTTGGACTTTGCTTTTATTTTCTTGCGTGCTTGAGTGTTAGGAGTTATATCTTTGCCTATCTTGTTATTAAAGTCTCGACTTTGTTAAAGTGTGATTATTTAGTAAAGAAAGCTCAGTTAATCTACCTAGGATCTCCTTGCTAGCATATTTTTTTTCATTTATTTTTATTTTTATCAAGTCACAGAGATTCTGAATAACCAGAGTTCACGTCTTTCTCTCTCGAAGCTTGTATATTTACTTCAATGCTCTCGATTCTTAGCTTTAATTAGTCGTAATTCAACCTCAATCACCATGATTAGTATGTTTAGGATTTTATTTACTATTTTTGTGCCTTTGGAAAACTAGTTAGTAGGCGAAGCTCTTAACCGTCTTCCTTGAGATACGACCCGAGTTTGGATAACTCGGTTATCAACCAATCCTCGCTACAAAGCAACTCAACACTTACTTTAATTTGAATGTAGGCTGGAACTGTATCAATATACTTTTTATTTTATTTATTTAATTTTATTGTCATGATGATGCTTACACTTATGTTTTTGTAGATGTGAAGAACAATAGTAAAAAAGATGTTGCTAGGAAATACTCGGTGAGGGACACCACAAATACACATGCATTTACTTGCAATATTCATGGAATCATGTACAAAGCGGAGTCTCGTGAATGAAACAACATTGGGATGTAGGCTTTCCAAATGTCGTACGATGTTCGAGATGTCCGGCGAAAGTTCGTGAATAAGTAAATGAGTACATGAAAATGAAAAAAGAAAAAGCAAATGGAGCACAACAAAATTGTGTATGCATTGATGTAGCAGTTGACTTTGATGATTACGAGGTTCAGAAATAAGAGATTGGTCCCAAGTTCCTGACCCAAGGAATTTATCATCCCTTGCATCCACTCAATGTAGCAACATGAAGAAGACTCAATTTCAAGTCAAAAAGCCAAAAACAAAAGGGGCTACTGATTGTTATTTTACACTCGATGCCGAAGTTGTTGTGGAAAGTCAAAAGCGAAAAGGAAAACAAATAAGAATAAACTAGTATGCTACCTATCAAGAAGAGCTGAAGAAGAGAGCCAAGAAAAATATTTTAAGATTCTTATATGAAGTCGCGAACCCTTTTAATGTGGTCAATTGTGCGCCTTTTGAGCCTATGATTGGGGCCATTGGAAATTATGGTTTTAGGTTGCCATCGCCGATATACTATCAAATAAAAGGCTCATTGCTTAGGAACGAGAAAGAACACATATTGAAGATGAGGTGATCATACTCAATCTATAGCACAATACGGTGCACGTTGATGTGTGATGGGTGGATCGATCGACAGATACAGACATTGATCAATATTTGGAAAACTCTCCTTGTGGCACAGTGTTCTTTGACTCCGTTGATGCACTAGTTATGCAAAGGATGTTGGTTCAGTTAAGAATGGCGACTCATATGCAACTCGAAAAACTTAACGAATTTAGTCATATCGCAATAAAATATATTGATAGGATCCAAGGACTTACATTTCAAAAATTCATAAACTCTGAGACATTATTTATTTCCATTGATAGGGATCGTCTGAGCCTTGTCTAATCATTGAACCCCACTGATCGCCTAGGGGTCACACGAGCGTGTGTTGTGGGTTGCTAAATCATGCTGCAGTCATTGGGTGTCGCCGTCTCTCATCACCGGTGTACAGTCGATGGTTTTTGCCGGTGGTGGTGTTCGCTGGTGGAGGTGCACGCCAAGGTTAGTGGTTGTCAAAAAACTTGTGAGGTTGAATATATATTTGTCGGGATTGCAAAAATATAAAACCTTCGAATTTCTATTGTATGACCTTTCAGCATTTCTGATTTGTCGTAGTGGATGAGTAGTCGAATTTCCTGAACCTCCCAAAACTCTTAACAAAACCAGTTAAGAAAGCGGCGTTGCATGCAAAGCGATGGGCAAAAGCTCAGGGGTCTTCAACCATAGCGGCGCTAACCCCTTAGCGCCGCTAACCCCTGCTCGTAACTAACAGCGTTTTTTGAGGATTTTGAATATGGAAAGCATAAGGGACGAGCCTAGGGCATAATTTCATTCATTCAGACTTTGTATTTTCGGCTTTTCTCTCCAGAAAACTTATCTTTCTCTTAGTTTTTGCTTTTGGATTGGATTTGGAGCTTTAAAACTCATACCCTAGCTTTTGGATTTAGATTGTTCGTTGTTCTCCGACATTGGAATCCTTATCAAAAGTAAGCATTTCTTTCCTTATTTTGATATGATGATGTTTGCTTGGGTTGACGTATATTTTCGTGTTGATCTTACAATGAGTGGCTAATTCCATAAGTTAGGGATAGGGGACGGTTGTTTCGGTTCGTTTTCAATTACGTGTTTGATAATTGTTCAATCCATGTGAGTTGTGTGAATTCTAGTGTTAGTTGATTGATCACCAATCTAACCTAATCAATCAATGTTTAGAACCGAAAGGGGAGACGTCGGTCGAACTAGGCTCGTTTGGAATAGACTTGTTCGTCATTGTATTGTCTATGTGTTGTTGGAATTGATGAGTTGCTCGTTTATGTTCACCTTCTTGTAACGAAGAGTTATTGAAAGTGAACCTCTATTCGAGTAGAAGATTCAAACCCTTTAACCGATCAATTGATTGCCCGGTAATTGAGTCAAGAACCGAAAACGATTGTCCCCGACTCCCTAACTCATTTATAATCAAGTTAATTTGTTGGCTTTTGAATTTTCGTACTGCATTGCTTTAGAATTCAGAGTTGATAATACAAACCAAAACAATTGAATTAGAATGTTTAGGAATTTCTTTTCTCTTTTCTTGTGATTGAATATCTGTACAAATAATCCGACCAACCTTCCTTGAGAGACGACCCGGTGTTTGAATCCTTTGATTTAACTCCAGTAAAAAAACTTACAACAAATTGGCGCCGTTGCCGGGGAAGGTTTAGGACTTATTTTGTGCGCCTATTCATTTCGTTTTCAGTGTTTCTCTTATTTTCGTGATTTCTTGATTTTTCGTGTTTCTTTTTGTTTCATTTTCTTATTTAGTCGTAATGATTTTCCTTGATTTGTTTTCCTTGTTCTCTTATTGTCTATCTGGTGCTCGTGACGGTTTCTTTTGTCTTTTTGTATGAGAACTAGGAGTGGACGTATACTATCTCCTATCGACAAACCGTTCAACGAGAGCCTGAGAGAGCTACTGGAAGATCTTACTCTCGAATCCCACGAAGGAGACGATCATTCTCCGAAATCATCCGAAGGCAACAACTTCGACATGGGTGAACAGCAGCAACAACTGCCCGGTAACACCCTCCGAACCTTAGCCCAGCCAGTTATGGGGCCAGTCACCTCATGCATTCGTTTGTCGGATACTGCACGTAATTATGAGCTCAAAATGATTCACTACAACCAGCTGTCGGCATTCCATGGGCTCCCAAGCGAAGACCCGCTTAACTTTATTCGAGAATTTTACAATGTCCTCAATACATTCCCTCTCAACGGGCTGAATGACGAGCAGTTGAAGATGAGGTGCTTTCCAGAGACACTAAAGGACCGGGCTAAGGCCTGGTTCATGACGCTTGCACCGGCATCTCTAACTACCTGGATCGAAGTGTACACGAAATTCATTGGGAGGTACTACTCCCATCAGAAGACCCAAGAGCTCCGATCACAGATCGTCTCATTTACTCAACTACCAAGTGAGCCTCTTCACGAAGCTTGAGAAAGGTTCAAGGATCTCCAGCGGCAATGCCCTCATCACAATCTTTCGTCGGGACTATTGATGAACTGTTTCTACGACTCCCTCAATCAGAACTTGCAGTATATGGTTGATAATGTTGCGGGAGAAGACATCGGTGCAAGGACGGCCGAAGAGACGTTTGAAATTTTTGAGACGATGAGTTCCAACTCGTCTCAAAAGAGCAGTCGAGGAAAGAGAGCCGTGGTCAATGAGGTATCTTCTGGATGAGACATGATGGCCCATCAGATAGCCGAGCTTACAGAGCAAATGCGGCTAATGAATGCAAGAGGAGGCCAGTCAGTGCAGACCATGACAGTGGACACATGCGGGGCACGTGGAATTCAGGGGTATAGATCTGAGGTGTGTCCATCAGCATTTGACCAGGATTTTGGAGAACAGTATGCAGACGTCAACGCCCTCCAAGGATATCAGAACCGGCAGCCCAACGACCCCTACTCCAACACGTACAACCCCAGGTGGAGAAATCACCCACACTCTCGTGGTCCAACAACAGTAACAACCTCCAGCCACCTTGCCCAAACTTCACCCAACAACCCCGTCCAAACTTCATGCAACAGCAACCCCGTCCCAACTTTATTTTCCGTCTGAACTACCAACAACAACAGCAACCTCAACAGCAAGCCCAAGGGTTCGGATCGAGCTCGTCGAACCAAGATGACAAGCTAGACAAGATCCTTCAGTTTATCACGAACCAGGACTCATCGATTAAGCGTCTCGAGACGCAAGTGGGCCAGCTTTCCACGAGAGTCGAGAACATGGAGGCCGAGTCCGACAAAGAGAAACTTCCAAGCCAGCCCGAACAAGCCAAAGCACTAACAGTGTTAAGGAGCGGAAAAGAAGTGGACAACAAAGTAAAAATGCCCGAGCCTG